TAGGCTGCCCAAAGCGCCCCCTGCCAACTGCAAGCCAAGACGCGAACAGACCACCGACCGGGACGAGGCCCTTTCCTTGGATCCAGCTTGCAAACGTACCGCTTACAACAAGCTTCGTACCCGTATTTGTGTCTTGTCCTTTCTCAGAGTTGGCCTCTGGGTTGAAGGAAGTCTCAGTCAGGAGATGCTAGGAGAATTCTCCGCCGGGGCCTGCAACAACGCTGGATCCCATGTACCTCGAGGAATGCTTGGGTCCTCTTCTTGAAGGACACCCCAAAGAGCTTAAATTTTTGCACATGACTAGTTCAACTAGTTTCCTGCCTGTCTGAATTGGCCTCATATCCAACCCTCTTGCATGTGCTTCATTCCGGTACACATGGCTCAGCAGTGACTTCGAAATCAGGATGGGATTCAAGGCATATGGTAGTTTCCCTAAATCACTGTTCCCCAAATGGGGGAAATTTATATAGGGCCCGTATTAGAGTGGGAACCCAAATATAGGACCCCGTATTATGGGGAATTTAGACCAATACCCATATAGTCAAGGTGCAATGTACGTTTGTCGTTTTGGCCTATATGGAACTCTTGGAATCACGGATTTGTTCATGCTAAGGCCAGCTGAGCTGATGCTTCCGAAGGCATTGAAATTGGTGTGCACATGACGTACGACTGGTGATATCTAGAAAAACCATTTGTAATCTATAATATCAACAGGAAACTACAGGGCATTACCGGGTTGTAAGTTGGGTTCTGTCCTAAAAGATTGAGCCCGCTCGCAGCTCAAAGAATAGTTCCGGCTCGGTTCTAGACACTGCCGAAAATCTTGAAATCAGATTGCGAGGGATGGTCGTACCGGCATACAGCCATGTCTCCCCCAAAGAAGCTAAGCAAGGGCTGAATGAACTCCTGCAGCTACAATGCCCCTTGAATCAGTCCGTAGTGAGGATGCGCAACCCCGAATTGGTAATGCACAGCCCAGCCACATGTTGTCCACGAACATGCTGAAACCTGACCGCACCAGGCCGTTGAGCGTGCTATGGCACAAAGTCCCAGAAATCTAAGTAGCCCGCATTTTGTTTACTTGATGCCCAAAGCATCCATTACAGGCCACAGGGCAAGACCAAAGCTAGGAAATTCTGACTCGACCACGCAAATAACCTGGCAGAGATCCTGGACTTCACAACTAAAATCCAGCAAGGCCCCATTTCTTCCTGACTCCTCTTGAACTAGAAACCCCACATGTGCTGCAACACACTCATTCAAGAGTTGAACGTCGTCAGGAATTGGGTACATAGTAGAGAAATCATTGTTCCTTCCGGGGCTACGCGAAGACCCTGTTTTTGGCACAATGTCCATTTTGCTGGGTGGAGGCGCCTTTGGGGATTTCGCCACCAGATTGCCGCATGATCTGGCCTTCAAGGAACCAGTGAATGGAGACCTGACAGCTTCTTTGCAGGTTTGGGGATGAGTGGATGGGTCTAGGAATTTTTGTTGAGGGTTTAAGGGTTTGTGGTTTGAAGTTGAGAGTTCGAAGGGACTCTAAAACTTGAGAGTTCGCGGGCTTAGGGTTCTTGACAACTTGTTTTTTGTGCTTTCCCCTGCCGCCAAAAGTAGCCCCTTTTGTTCCTATGCTAGAACTGTTGCGCGGGCACACGGAAATTGAAATACAACTCTTTGACTGTTCAGGCTTCCACGTTATTACTTGCTCTGGAGTGTCCCGCTTGAGTGGTTGTTGATAAGGTCTTAAATCAAGTTTGTCGGACAAGGAAATCATGTTCTTCACTACGTACTATATACCCATTTTGCGGCAAATTACCCTGAACCTGAAACCCCAAACCCTATGATCTACGTTCGTTAACAGCAGGGTACCACGCCTCGCCCCGAAAGCCCACGTTGTTCAGGTATGAGACAAGGCTAACCTCAGCAAGCCACGCTCCGCGCAGGGGTTTCAGGGCCCCTACATATAGGATTGCAAAATGTTTAAGTTTATAGTGGGTCCCCCTATCTATGGGAACACTCCTTGGGCTGTGTCAGTATCGTTCACTGACCCTCAGCACCTACTCAGTCTGAGGTTAGATAATAATCATGATCATTGGAGAACACGGAATCATCCTCGTCGGGGTCTGGTAAGCGGTTCCAAAAGCTTGAAAACTTCCATTCCTGAAGATCGGGATAAACTCCCGAACGCAAGGAGCCGTGTCTGATAACAACAGACGATGCACACTAGGGACATGCAAGAATTAGGACCTGGTGTGGCTGCTTGTGCACTTGACCTGCGCAAGTGTTAAAAGCCAGCAAGACATGAGTTCCCGGGCTTTTCCAACCCATTGTATGGGTCTTGATGTAGACTGTGACGGCATGCTTGGATATTCATGGGTATTTCAAATGAAGCACATCACGTATGTAATTTGAACTGCGCTAAGTTATCTATATAACCACTGGGATACTACTGCCAGGCTTCGCGGGAATGGGGCTGCGCTTTGAGGTGTGGGGAACGGGGGGCACAGAGGGTCGTGGCAGCGCGTTGAGTTCTTCCAGGTAAGCTGATCACACTCCACCCCACCAAGCGCTGCAACTGAACGCGATGTCGCAAATACTTGGACGAGCAGCTACAGGGCAGTTTGTTGCGTCCAAGATTGCAACGTCACCCCGGAACAAATACTCTGCCTGGTCGTGTTGGATGCGTTATTGGGCTTGCCACTCAACGGTCACAGCTTAAGGATTTGAAACCCCAATTGCCAATGGCTCTTACGGCAGCTCAGGTAAGTGCAGTCAGTGCTCGCATGATCAAGGCTTACCTACGGCTGACATACCAGAATAAGGCATGATGTCATAAGTCCTGTGAGTGTTATTAAGATAGCCAAACCATTCTCCATCTTCATCTTGTCGGGATTCTACAGTTCAGAACATCTTGTTGGGAAGCCCCCCTTGGCCTCATCCCAGTCGCAGCCGACGCGGAGTGCCACCACGGGCGGCAAGAAGCCCCTGCGGTGCTTGGAGGGCTTTAGACTCCATCCGAAGAAAACTAGAGGCCTCGAGCCAGACCCAAACCCAAACCTCGCACCCGCAAGGCTCAATAAGCACAAGAAGCCTCCAGCCAGACCCAGCCCAAACCGTGCACCCATCTGGTCTAGACGGGTGCAAAAAAATCAGAAGACAGGAGCGCGATCAGAGTTCGAGAGAACAATAAACCCATAAAGGTCGAGGCAAGGGTGGAGCAACAGCGGGGGTGGGCTCATGCAGGTCATGCTTCCAGCACCAGTGCACCCCCTAAGCCATTTCTTGGCCTCGGCAACTCTGCCCGCTGGGGCACCGCTGCGCGCTCCTCAAGCACCCAAACTGATCTACCTTAGCCTGAGGTACTGGGAGTTTATAGGGAATGAGGGACTGTATTCTATAGGGATTATATTCCCTTTTTCCTTACTAGGAGGTTACAGGGGTTGGGTTCAAGTATGAGAGGGTGCTCGCAGATTACCTCAAGTGTCAGCAGCTGCACAGGGTGGCTATAGCTTTCCAAAGCCAAGCAACACAATGAAGTACAGAAACCGTCAGAACACCCCTGCGGTACTCCCCCACGCTCCGTCAGCTCCAGGAAGCCCGCTGCAACAGTGGGCCGGAGCGAAGTTCGAATCCAATCTGTACGCACAGGGCTTTGTCTTGCCAACGTGGGTTCTATATGAGCTATAGTCTAAACTCCTAGTATCCCCATCAATAACCTCTATAGTAGTCCCCTATATAATCTAACCCCCCTTTAAGGAGTTTAGACTATGACTCATATGGGGAATGAGGGCATGGAAGTGAAAGTGGAAATTGCTACGTTATTGGGGATTGTATAGGAGTTACTGTAGCCACTAACAACTGGTAAGTTGTCTGGAAGCTCCGGTGGCCTTTGTTTCTTTTGCGAAAAGCTGGGGACAACAACGGCAGAAGAACGTAGCACAAGTCTGTCGTGTAGGAAACACTGCAGTAGGAGCCGGCCCATCTTGGGCGCATACCCGACTGGTAGAGTGTTGCATGCAACTCCTGGTGGCATTTCTTGAACCGGGCAGGACAGACTCAGGAAAGTCTCCAAACCTGCATCAAAGATTTATACGGAGCTTGCGGATCCTGCTTAGCCCAGGCCTTTTGAAGGAAGTGGGTGGCCGCTAAGCCTCAAACGCACGCGCTTTGGCAACGGCCGCCCAGAGCTTGCAGCTTGGTGGAGGAGCTCGACACCCTCCGCCAGGACTTATGGTTGTAGATGTAAGGCAGGCATTCAAGGATGAGAGGCTGTTCTTGCCGTTTTGCGGGAGCTTTCCAAAGATTCATGCGTGTAGCGACTATGTACACCAGGGTAATGACAGTAAGAGGGTTTTACCTTCCAGCATTTGGGGATTGCAGGTAACTTAAATAAAGGTGTGATCAGTTCAACTTGATCATCGCCAGAGCTTGGCACGGCGCAAGAGGTCAGATGGGTTGGGCTCAGCAGATTTTGCCGTTTCTCTTTTGAAGGGCTTGTTTTCTCAATGTCCAGGGACTCAGGATTTAGGTTCCATGCGTTGCAGATTGTAGGTTCATGGGGCTTCACGCTTAGGATCCCAGGGTTGAACTGGAATTGTACTTCTGAAAGCTGGGAAATGCAGCAACCGCCGTGCAGCAACTTCAAGACAGGCAATAAACGGCCGATGTGAGGTCTACTTGCGTGTGCGGACACTGGCGATCATATAAGTTGAAGCCAGGTAGTCCCTGCTAGTATCTCAGAAGCAAGCGTTCTGGCTTACATCCCGCTACTTAAAGAGAGGCGGAGTGAGCTGAAAGTGGCTGGACAGCATCGCAACACGCATCCCAACCACATGATGGTGACGTCCGATTTGTCCTATCCGTTCTTGCCTCTTCTTCTCACTGCTCTACCCTCTCCCTGCGGAGAGGGTAGAGCAGTGAGAAGACGAGGCAAGAACGGATAGGACGCATCGGACGTCACCGTTCTTGCCTCGTCTCCTTTTCTGTTTTCTCCGCACTGCTTATTGCGCAGCAAGCTCTTCCGCATCCAGCACAGACCCAAGCTCAGGCATGCCTTCTGGGATACCGCTGCTCTCATTGGTCCAAAACCAGACTCGCCACAGCTTCCGCTCCGTCTCGCCAGCGTAGCCCTCCCGGCCATGCAGCATGCGATAGTTATCGAGTAGCAAGGCTTCCCCTCTTTGCACCGGGAAGCGATGAGCTAGGGCGGCCTCGTGTTGTACAGCAGCATCCACAACCTCTAGCATCTCTTGCACTTTGGATGTGCCCTTTGACGTCCCTAGCGCTGCCCACAGGCTCTGGTAAGGGCGAAGGTCTGAGCGTAACTTGCCATCCTTGGCAACGGCATCCTCACAGGCGAGGACCGAGGTCTGCCGATGAAAGCGTATGCGATTGTGCTGCCACGACATAAGCGGGCCAGTAAACTCCCGCCCCTTCACGAAACCTGCACCAGTCTTCCGGCAAGACGATCCTACTTCAATTTCTTTCTTCTCCGGCTTACTACAATTGGACAAGCACTAGCCAACAAGTGAAAACATTGAGCCAGGGCCAGCTGGCAAGGAACCTGGTGGCGATCTCTCGGTCAAGTCGACATCGGTCGTCTGCGCCAATCTGGCTACAGGCTAGCCAGGAATCATAATTCCAGGATGCTTGGCCTAAAGCTAGTACTACTCTGGTCTAAACCTGATCCATCGTAAGTCTAAGCCCCTGTCATCTCCCTCTTCTACATTTCCAAGCAGCCTGCTATAAGACTAACCGCCGGCTAGCAGCGAGCAGAATTCGCCTTGCAGCTCAATCGGGCCTCCTTCGCAGAGGCGATGAAGCACCTGCAAGGGGAAGTTTTCTTTGTGGCTCCTAGTTGTTGAACACTTTTTTGTTGAGTCGAATAGGGCCTGTGGGGATTAGTGTCCATGGCTTGAGGATTCTGACACAGAGCCACCTTCTTCCCGTCAACGACGTAATTCTCCCCGCCCGCCTCACTTTGAGACTCCACCAAGAAGGCAATGTAATCAGGAAGAAACTTGCCATAGATATATCCATCTGTGTGTGGCAAAAGTGGCTTGCCCACCAGCCCAAAAGGATTGGCTGTTTGGTTTTGCTTCAGCTGCTCGTGCTCCAGGTGGATACCTTGCACTTTTGGGTTCTTTGACACCAAGCGGCCTGGGAAAGTGAGAGATGGCACGCTTGCTGCCTTGGCTTCCCACAAATCGTCTGAGGCCAGGCCTGTCAGAATAACAGCACCATCCTGTGCCAGCGCTTCGTGGATGGTGGCTAGCTCTCTAACGGCTACTCGCTTAGGGCCTGCACCGCAGCTGCTTGCATCAGTTCCTTCGTCGGCGCGTACAAGTATGGGAAGTAACAACGCGCAGAAGAATGCAGGCATGGCTAAGCTAAATATAACCCTAATAGAACCCCAATGATTATACTATAGTATTTTCCATTTCATTTTCCATTATCCCTATATAACCCCATGTTAATCCCAAGATATACCCTATTATATTATAGTAGTAGAATCAGCTCAAAGCAGGGTGCCTTCTGTCATTCCTTGCGTGAGAACTCTCCTATACAAGGCCCTGGTTCATGAAACTCCCAAGCCTACTGCTCTTCAATCACTGGAGAGGCTTCTGCCTTACAAAGCGTGCTAAATAATCAGCTCCTTTCACTGTATCAGCACTGCTGACTTGAGCACCGCGCTGGAAACAAACATTGAACATGGTGGCTTTCGGGGAAACATCTCCCACCCAAAAGGACAACATGATGCTCAACCGAAGCCAAAGATCTTCAAGTGCTTCAGGGGTTTGCACATATAGGAGTTTGCTACATCCCCCCCAATTTGGGGGAAACCTAATTCCCAAGGGGCGGATTGCAAAGGGATTTTGCCATTCCCTCTGCTGACAGGGAAATCCTCCCCTCACTTGCCAGGAAATCTCAAGATCAGTTGCGCCGCGAGAACCTGTGAAACCTTCGCGTCTCAGAAACCCGCCGAAATCCCAAAGAATGAAAGCAGTGATGTGAGCTTTGCTGTAGTGCTTCAATCCTTTTGAACCCCGCATGGCGCGAAGGGCTCGATCTTGATCTTGCTGAAGCCCTGATCCCACAACCCCTGCTTGATTCTGCTTCAAAAGCTCTTGCAACCTTTTTCTCACTTCTGGTCCCTTTGACTGGACTCCACACAGCTTACCCCGATTTTCAATGGGACCTTCGACAAGATTGGGTTACGATCCTAGTGCCTTCCTAGTTTGTATTTCCGGGTCGGGGCCTAGCCCTCATGACAAGCTATAGTCTAAACCCCTAAAATCCACCTTGATGACCCCTATAGTAGTCCCGTATATGATCCCTATATAACCCTTTTAAAGTTGTTTGGACTGTAGCCCCTCAAGCCCAGCTGTAAGAAGCTCCTCGTCAACCCCCCCGGCTCATGGGAGCCTCCATCTGGGAGCCGAAAATGTGCGTGAGAGGTCGCGGGATGGATGCCTCCAACCACCTGGCTTACCATTACTTGAGGGTTTAGGGTTACCCCCTCCCCACAAAATTATACTAGCAGCTAAAAGCCCACAACCATAAAGTGAAAAACAAGACAACAAACCACACCCCTCAACAAATATTCTTCTCATAAGTAAGGGTACTGTATCAGGAAGTCTGCTAGCAGACGCGGCGGGGGTCGTTCTTAGCCGAGGGGTAAAAAAGAGCGCCAAAACTTTTGGGGGCATTGTAAGGCTTTGTGCGGGTCCTGCTGTGCGGACTCTGCAGACTCTGAGGAACTCTGAACTTCAGCCTGAAGACTCAGTCACAGAAGGGTTTAGGGTTTAGGGGGCCTGAAGGGATATGATGACACCGTAAGTGATAAGAAGGATCTGGGGGCTGTGGTTGCTCGAAAGAAGCTAGGTCCTCGTAGCAATACTTGCGCCCGCGCATGTATGCCCATTGTTGGGATGGTTGTGTAGCACATGATGCCCTACACTGTCTCGTCAGAACCCAACAGAAGTGGGCTACCTAATGTACTCACATTCGGGGAAAGCCCCTGCATCCAAATTGCAGATCAAACTTTCGGGTACACAGCGCGAATGAGGGGATGGATGCAGCCGCAGCTGTTGCAACATCCCGCGCTAACACTCATCATCGTTTCTTTAGTTCGTCCCCTTCCACGGAAAATCTAAACACTAAGTCCCAGTTCAAAGCCCAGTGTGACCTCCCCTCCTTGTTTCGACGCGAGGCGCTAGCCTGCACCAGGGAAGCATCTTTCTCAGGCGAGCTTGATATCTGATGGTGCTGAAGTTGCGGGCCAAGACAAGGCACACATCATGACACCGATATCTCCCATTTGCAAAAATTTTGTAAAACTTGTGCGAAAGGTTGCGAATAAGCCCCAGCCTAATGGCATAGCAAGAGAAGCATTTCAGCTTCCAACGCTGTTTGTATGAGCTTTGACAAAGGCAAACCCTCTATGCGTGAAGGCGTAATAAAAAATCTGGAGTACAATGCGTTCCCTGAGGGCACATGGAGGCTCTGAGGTTCCCGGCTCATCCGGAATCTTTTGCTGCCGGCTTGTCTCGTTGGGTTCCGAACCCTAGCCCATCTAATTAGCCATCACCCGAACCAAAAATAAGTTGAAACCTGAGCAGTTCAGGAGCGCTCCACACAAAAAGCATATCAAGTCCCCCAGCCCTACCCCGCACATCTACTTCCTTCGCTCCTCAAGGGCGGCGCGCAGTGCTACCGAGCCGGGCTTCGCGGCGTCGATCTGCATCGGCTATGTAGAAAAGAGAAAGGAAGGCAAGAATGGAAAAGAACATGGAAACCACTATCTAGGCTTCAGTGTTTAAGGGGTGAAGAATTTTGGGAGGAGTATTTAGGGAGTACTGTAGGGATTCATATCTACTGCATTTCTTGAGAAGGGATTAGAGGGCTCACGTAGGAAGCTGCAGGCATGGGATCACGTATTGGCTACGTCAGATTTCTGAGGCTGTGCGCGATCTGTTTGGGGGTCTCTGATGCTGGGCAAACCCCTCCTCAACCCTATCCAACGAGGAACGCTGAAGTGATATGGGCTTCGAATCACAGGAAGATACGCAGCGCTGACTGACCAAGGCCTGCTCTCAGGATTGCGCAAAGGCATTGATCATGTTAACAAAGTCTAGGACCATCTTGAGCTTCTGTTACAAGATCCGTGTCACTCATAAACAATTCTGTTGAGCTTCAACGTTCGAGGGTTGGCGGCCCTGAGCCCGTAGTCACGCAAGCTTTCTTTTGGCGTGGTTGCGGATGAGAACTTGGCAGGGGTTCTTTACGTCTTGGGGATGACAGGCCTTTTGGTTCACCATTATGGTGCAAAGGTCCTAAGCTTAGCAACCAGAACATTAGAGAAGCCAGTGACCATTGATGTTCAATCCGCCTTCCTTCAAACCCAACACGATGTGTGCATACCTACCTCCAATAGAAGGAATCTCATGAAGCCAGGCATACTCTGAACGGGGAGGGAGGAGATAGCCAGGGAAAAGTGGGGAGCCTCAGCAGTCTCTGGTCTTTGACTGAGAACTCTAGGTAGCCAAGGGAATTTTCAGGTGGGGAGGTGGGTACTTTACAGAACGCTAAAAAATGGGAGAGGGTGAATAAGGGCCATGTAAGCCTTATGGAAACCTATCCACTAAAAAAGTCCTTCGACTGAAGGGAGCTCGTTTTATCCAACCCATTGCTTTATTACGACTATGCAAGAATTACTGTTCTTACTGTTCTTACTACTATAACTATGACTATTGTTGCCATCATTGCTGTTATTACGCCTTACTATGATGATTCACAACTATCCTTACTATTGCCCTCTGACCTTGATAGTAACAGCACCCGCCTTCCGCACAAACCAGGGCTCATCCTTGGCAATCTCCGGCAGGTGCGTCACATTGAGATGCCTGCACATGATGGTCTGAACTCCTTAAAGGGGAGTATATAGGGTTCAGGGTTTAGGGTCTAAACTCCTTGAAGGGTTATATAGGGTTTAGGGATATTTAGGGTTTAGGGTCTGGGGAGTTATACAGGGTTTAGGCTCTAACTCCTTAAAGGGGGGCAGATAGGGGATTATGTAAAGGTTTTTTGTTTAGGTCTCAACTCCTTCAAGGCGGCTATATAGGGGAATGTTATAGGTCTGATTAACAGGGATACCGGGAGTCTCCACCATAGTTCAGATGGGGCTCAACTTGGACTAGGAGCAACTAAAGGAGGGGAGTTTCCAATGGGGAGACTGTATATCAAGGGTATATTAGGGGTGTATAGGGACCATGAGGAGTTACATATTGGGTACATAAGGTTAAAGTCGTGTGCTATATGGTAACTCCCTCCTTTGAATGCCTTAGATTGGAGCAGGGGAACAGGATGACGTTTCAATGAGAGTGAGGGTTGAGGATGTTTGCTTTTT